GTCTCTGGGCAAAAGCTCCCCACATACCTTGTCAAAGCAGGAGGCGGCTATGACGCGCATCCAAGCATTCAAACCCTAGGTTTCCCAGGTGAGGTTGTTAGCACGAGCGTGGTTGGCTATCTACATGTTTGCTTGCTTTGAATTTCACTGCATTTTGCATAAAGCATATGAGCACCTAACTTCATCCCGACTCGACTTCACTCCAACCGTCAGCTCTAGCCTGACAAGCATCTCACTTCGCTCTGACCGATGGCTCTGGCCCGGCAAGCACTTCACTTTGCTCAGACCGACTGCTCCGACTCGATGATTATACCACTTTGGTTTGATCAGTTGCCCCTGCCGGCGAACCAGCCACTTTGGTTTGACCAGCCACCACGGCCTAGTGGACCGACAACCTTGGTTCGATCGACTGCCTCAGCCCATTGAACCTGCCACTTTGGTTCGACCGACCGCCCCGACACGGTTAACCTGCTACTTTGGTTCGACCAGCCGCCCCGACCTCGTCGACTATCAACTTGCACTACTGCATGTTATGTGCGTACACGTGCATGCTTGCTTGCATGTTCACCTACCTGTGTTGTATATCCTTTACGTCGCTGCCGCCACGACACGGTCATCACTCTTCGGGTTGCTGTCGCTGCAACAGGCCCATCCCTTCGAGTCACTGCCTCCATGGCACACCCACCCTCCTGAGTCACTGCCCCCATGACACACTCGTCACTTCTGTTACATGACTGTTTGCATTTGCATTTGCATGCATGCATAGATAACGAATCAGCTCGTTATGAGAGTGACCTTGTGTTGATTGTGATGCCTTAATGAGCATTGCTTGCTGGGTTTATCCCGGTGAGCAATGCGAGTTAAGTCATCGGCATTGACGTGAGGGATCTAACTGTGCTAAAGATTCAAGGGATCTAACTCGTGCCACTCTTATATGTTATAGACTTGCATTTAATGACCCTTACGGTAAAATGTAACATTTATTTATTTTTTTATTTATTACGTTTATTTTGATTTAAAATTTATGCACGCAGCAGGCTAGGTCATATATGAGGTCAATTCTTTTAAAATTCATCCCAGGTGACACTTATTAGACCCTTTGGATTCTTAGGATGGGATCGGCAAGGCGACCCCGTCAAAGTCATACTACACTCAGACTTACCCCACAATCAAATGTTAGTTACAACACTTGTCGTTAGATGGAGTGCTACGCTAGGGTTTAGAATGCTATGTAGTATTTTTCGATACCTCTGGCTATTGTTATGTGTTGTGTTGTTTTGTGCTAATCATGTGTCACGTTCTTATTTTTCGGTGGCTTGTGCGCTCGTTGTGTGTGATAGTATATTAGGGTGATCTTCTGCAGGTTTCGTGCCTACTTACACACTCACACAAGTGCTATTATGGGGGAGCAAATAATAATTCTAATCATTTGCTTGTATGTCCTCTTTAACTCCCCCAATCATAAGGCACGACTCGTTATTTCGCGATGCATGGTGTGCTCGCTAATATTTGTTTTATGCAGGTCAATTCTTTATTTTCTTTTTCATATGCATTTGGTAGAGTATTTATGATGAGTCTGTATCGAAAAAAAAGTATGGGCACAGGTTTCGGGGTGAATAACGCACCGAACCACATGACGAGAACCAAGAGCGGTAGTTCGTGTCTCATACCTTAAGTATGAATTTTACGTTCTTGTTTAACTTAGGATCGGACATGTATATACAGAGTTCGACCATTTTTACTGTTTTCCCTAGATTATGTTGTAGGTCGAGCGGTATTTGGTCTCTTTTATATATTCTTTTGGAGTGTTTTCTTGTTTTTTTTTCTTGTATGTCATGCGTGTTGGAGTGTTTTATATTGTTTCTTTCTATGCATATGGATCTCACGAAAAAAACACTACATATGCTCATTAAAGTTCCTAAAATTATAATTCTTTCTGCTTAACAAAAATTTAAATAAAAGATTGAGATAAATTAATATTTAGGGTTAAAAGATTCAATACTTTTCAAAACCTATCTTTACTTTCTGTATGGCCTTCGGGCCAGATATAAAGTGGTTTGTATTCATGACTATCACCTCAATCATGTTTTAATAGGGCCTCCGCATTTAGGATTGTGGTAAATAACTACAATTAGCAAGTTCAAAGGAGAAGCACGGGTGCTTCTCCAACCCGACTAACTCAGCATAACTTCATATATAGGTGGTTGTCCAATGCGTCTAGGGTGTTAGAAGACTCCTTGACCTAAACGGGGTATAAGACCTTTTATTTGGAGTGTCTACAGCTTTGTACATGGACCTCTTCTTCCTCCTCCTTTCCTGAGGCATATTTGTTATTTCGGCAGGTATAAGCCCTACTTTTTTAGAGCTCCAATCATAATAATTCACCCTTTTAGATTTACGATGATTTCTTGGACGAGGTAACCCATAATTGCTAACAAGAGTCCTCTGGTCTAAAGAAGTTTAAAAAATTGTTTAGACTAAGTAAATTCAAAACTAATAGTGGTGTTGGGATAACAAAATCATGGGAACTTGACCGGCGTCACTTAACAGAAAATAACCCCTCTTTTACTCACTTTAATAATAAT